TTAGTTTTCGTTCTCTTAAGATCAACGGCGAGATGGTAACAATCGGGTTGATGTTTAACTTGGTGAAATAGTCACATATTCTTGATATACACTTTGTTACATGTGTAAAAAATTGCGGTTATAAGACAAGGTATAAATGCATAATTAATAATTAAAAGTTTTTTAGTCCAAAATATATTTGAGATGTCAAAATTCTTGTAGCTACAACCAATGACTATAGGTAGCTACAGCCATTGACTATAGGTAGCTATAACCATAGACTATAGGTAGCTACAACCACTACAGGTAGCTACAGCCATTGACTATAATATAGTTAATGCTACATCGTGCGTAGGTGTTTTCTTCACCTTTTGTATTTAATCTCAACATGGATTGACTATGGTATTTTGTATGTTGATTATTTCCCATAGTACGTCACGTACGCGGCTCGCCGTGTGGAGATCGATCTATTTTGTTGGCGTCTTTCCATGAGTGGGTTTTACATCAGAACGTGTATATAAATCTTGAATGCATCGCTGAATATCCTACACAAGTAATATAACATATGACATAAGTAGGGTCTAATCGTCAAGGTCTCTATCATAAAATCATATTTAGTTAGCATAATTACTGATTTTAGCAAATTTTCCATGTAGGGCATGAGCTATTGCCGTAGATTTCATAGAAAGACCTAGATCCAGGATAGATTTACTTCTTTATTTTTTTTTTGTTCCCAGAGACAAAAAACACCGTCCGTTACAATGTATGTCATTTTGTGTTGTATACAGGCTGTCTCATAAGTAAACAGCTAACTGAGCTAACGTCCGTAAAAATTGTTTTATGGATCAAAATTAAAATTAAATTGAAAAATAATTATATTTCCAAAATCACATGGTTAACCAGGTATCCACCATTTTGTGTTGTTGACATATACATTATTGTATTTTTAAATTGTTTCAGCCAATCTTATGAAACATGGTATGTATGTAGAAGAAAATACGTATGGTAGAAAAGAAAAAATCTACTTTGTCCAATGAAACAAAATTTTTAATGGTGGCTATTTGAATTTTGTCGATTTTAAAATCACTAAAAATCGCTGATTATATGAAAAATTTAAAAAAAAACACTTTTATTTACCATATTTAATGCTGTACCAAGTTGTTGTATACACCAAGTTCAAAATATCTAATAAGAAATGGCTGAAAATATCTGTTTTCTTGTTAAATGAGTCTTTTTTTAACTGTTTTGTCCGTAGGAATTTTAAATGCTGAATAAAAGGGCTCTTAAAATGTTGTCATCAAGCTGGCTACTTTTTAGTTGGTAATTTAAATACTGTGGTGTCATGGTTAAATGTTGAATTGAACCAAGTAAACTTTTTTATCTAACATAGGTCTAATCTACCTATACATACCGAGTTGAATAAAGATCGTTTGGAAAGATCCGAGGATAAAAATGTTTATATATAAAAAATGGCCTAAATGGTTTTCAAAGCTTTTTTTGAAAATATGCACGATTTTCTCCTTATTTTGACCCATAAAACCATTTCCCGGAGTTTTGCTGTTTATTCACGGATCACCCTGTTTATTTATATGACGATATACAGAGTGTCCCGTAAGTAAATAACCAAACTCGGGGGTGTTCTTATGTATTTTTATATGCTCAATAGTACGTATATTTATTTATTACTACATTATCAGTCCTTGGAACGCTTAGTTGTGGAATGTTATTTTTTTAATATTAGGCTTCATCAGGAAAGGATATCATAGGTGCGCCAACTTAGCACCGGTGCATGATGACGCACACTGCGTATATGAAAATTAAGGTTAGTTCAAATGTTTTTCTGTGATTTAAGTCAGCCATCTTAATTTCAATATATTTCAACCAAACATAGAAAATATAGTTTTTAGATTCATTAAAGCAGTTAAATTATGGTAAGCCTTTACCTATTGTGTGTATTACCTGAAATTAAAGTACGATGGTTAATTTACTACACTTTAAGACCTTATTTTGAAATGGCAACCATACAAATGTAGATATTTTAAGCCAAGTATGAACGGAGATGAGTGGCACACAACACCATGTTAACTTTTATAATGTCTGTGGGCATAATGGGATTATGTAAAGTAGGGAAGATATATTGTAGAGTTCTCACGTTCTCAGATGTTACTACGCGTTACATAAAGCATAGTGTCTAGTGATGTGGGCCGGGTAAATACCCAGTGGGTAGGTAAATATAAATTGGGTATTTACCTGGGTATTTACCCCAGGCCCGGGTAAATACCCAAAAACTGGGTATTTATAATTTGTATTAAAGTTAGAGAAGATTGAGATGTTTTTTTGCAATTATTACCTTGTAAGGATAGCAAAATGATAATAAAATGTGTAAAACAAAATTTCTTATGGTCACTACTAGCATTTTACTTCTCCGTATGATCGCCATAAATACCCAGGTCTGAGCATAAAGCATAATCGGCATAAATACCCTGGTCGCATGGTTGCACTGGTCCTGACTACTTATGATTTTTTAATTTCTATGATAGATTAGATAGATGAATTTATTTTATTAAAAGTGAAGAAAAATAATTTGTAAAGTAATAATTATTATTTAGAAAGACAGGAAAATTTAACCTAGTAGTGGCCTATGTGTAAACAACTTAAGAAAATAATTAAAATTCAATCTGTAGGATGGCAGGATTTAATAATATTTTTGTTCTAGATCTTTTGTTGGTAAACTTAAAAAAAAAAACTAATTTCATAAACTTGTGATACAAAAAATTTGAATCTATAGCACAATAAATCTTTCAAAATTATATTATAGGCCCTAAGTTAGACCAAAAAACTGGAGATACATTTGTTCCCATCCAAGCGGTAACACAGAAAAGTTTAATGTAGACTCCCTCTTATCCGGACACCTTTTAACCGGACAATTTTTATCAGCCCATTGGTTTAACCTGACTAGATTGGCAAGAAGTGAGCGGTACTGAAACGACTGTTCTCGTGGGAAAGATTTGAGACCAGTGATCACGTATATAAATACAATGCTCTCCTAAATTAAAGTCGAATATGACAGTACCAGTACACGATTTCTGTTTTAACAAGTTTTTGGGGACGTCGGTTTAACCAGAAAACCCGTTATCTGGACTAGCCTCGGTCCCGAGGAACCCGAATAAGAGGGAGTCTACTGTACATTCAGTATTCTGCCATTTTGCCTATATCAATCAAGCCTTGGGTCTGTCTAGCCTTCCAAGCACACAATACAATACAAATTTTAACTATCATAATTTAATAACAGTAGAAGTAGATTTAGGTTCACTATTTCTTTGATGAGGTGTTGTCTTGATTTCATAAAAAAAGTGCTAAATCATTAAATAAAAGGTACTAGCAATTCTGCAAAGCTTCAAGTTACTGTAAAAGGTTAAATAGACTATCCTAATTTATCAGGTAATGATAACAATAACATATTTAGGGGTAGATAAAAATGAATTTCAATTGATTTCATAAATACCCAAAATACCCGGGTATTTATGGATTTTGGGTATTTACCTGGGTAAATACCCAGGGTATTTACCCCGAGTTTTAAATACCCAGGTATTTTACATCACTAATAGTGTCAAATATCATTTTAATTTATTCACATGCTACACTACGTTTTTACATTGTTAGATGTACTTATATTAACCTAAGAGCAGAGTACCCGTCTCTCGTACGGGTTTGTCGTACAAGTATAAAATGCTTATTGCAGTTATACCCGTGCTTTGCCTTTGCAATGGGAGAGGACACGTTTCCTATAATTTAGGTATATCACATCTACCATAGCCATAATGTTCTACCACTGTACCCAAACAATTAAAAAAATAAAGTTCTCACAGCTTTTTGTTACTACTTGGCTCGAATTAGTTGTTGTCATAAATGCAAAAAGGAATTAATAGTGCTGTACCCTGTTGGTAAACCTTATAACCTTTTAATTCTATTGAATATCATAGAACCAACTTGTGTGGTTGAAACAGCTGACAAAATTATTTCTTTTAAATATGAATACTCATAAGGTAAACATGGGAAACTCTAGAGCCACTGGAGCGGAGCCCGAAGGGATTTTTGAGATAAGAATATGTCTATATGTTAATCGGGATTGTGAGCTATCATCATACCAAATTTAATCAAATCCGACCCGTAGTTAATGGGTGATTGAACTTTAAACAAACAAACCAACTTTTACATTTAAAATAATAGTATGATAATCACCTGTGAAATGATAAAAAATAGGTTACAACGTTGAAAGATGTTCAATTTTCTATTGTTGCCATGAGCGATTGTCAATATAGTAATATAGCACATTCAGGCAATCCTATTTACTTCAGAGTATGCATTTTTTGTTAACTTACAAGCCTAACACAAAAAGAAACGTTGATATTCATAAAGGCGACATGTACTGCATATAAGCAAGCTGATTGGATCAACAGTATATTACATCCTGCAATCAACTACAAGAGATACGTACTATTCAGCTAGAATCAAAGGTGCAATCCATCAAAATCTCAATTACTAAGATTGACAACTTGACATCAACAAAATACAACCTATTTTACATCAAAATAAATAGATAAAATTTGACTGTTAATTTATTAAAAACCTTATTAAAATTATTAAAAAAACTGTTAATGAAATCATTTCTTTGAACATTCTTGTGATTTAAATATTTATGTGAATTTTTGACATGGGAACCGAATGAAAAATTACTTCAGGATTGCAGAGTAGATAAAACCCAGTAACTCGTTTGCATAAAACATCCTTTCTCTAGCAACTGTCAGCTGATGAATAGTAAATAATGTTTGGTTCACTACATCACTACATATCTAAATTTCAAATAACGGTAGTTGACATACACTTCACATTCTAAAACATCTAAATCCAGCCAATAAAAGTACAATACATAAACTAGATTGACGCAGGTCCCAATTTACCAGATGACGACGTGGTACACAGGGTTACATCTACATGCCAGACTGTCTGTTGCAGCTTACCTGTTATCAGTGAAAGGTGAATGTGTGTGTGAGTGAGCTACTATGCTGATGTCTGTTATCAGTGGAGGACCGAGCACCCCGCACTCCAGTACACTGAGCCACCTTCGGGCTCGGGGGCCGTTGCTAAGCGACAGAGCATGCGCCCTCCCCCCTACCTCCCCCTTGCCATCCCATAGCATCCTCCGTACTCTACAACGTTCCATTCTATAATTGATTTCATCATTGGTAAATTAGTTCAGTTTGCAATTGGCCCGACGAGACGCACTAATCCCCTTCGTCCTTTTGTCTCAACCGGTTCATCTGAATCTCAGTTGTATCATGAGTATTTTCAATTGAGGAACTCATTTAGGCTTTCTTGCAGAAAACAAATGTTACTTCAGATTCAGAATAATATTTTAATAGTTGTACAAAAATTAAAGTCGCTGTTCTTTCCGTTCTCATAGTCGGTATTCGTCAATGTAACCGGGTTCGTAACCGGGTCGATTGATTGTCCTGCCTTGCTGTCTGAAGTAGACATTCGTGTTCCATCTGGTACAAGATCCCAGGACCTATTCGGAAGGAAGCACTATTTACGTGGATACATGTACCATGGACCCTTTGCAAGGATGCTTCGAAATGGGAATGTCTTCTGTGCCACTTTCGACATCTTCACAGACAGCCAAATAACAATCCGGAAAAGGGTACTGGCTGTCTTCCACCGCTCATCATAGTTACCACCCAAAATTACTGTTATTATATTTCTGTTTCAAACCAATGAATGTTTCTCTCTTTTTACGAATCTTGTTTTCTTGTTATTGTTGAAATTATATTTACTGTTATTGTTGAAATTCATATATTATTGTTATTGTTAAAACTCATATATTTATTGTTATTGTTGAAACTCGTATATTTATTGTTTGTCGTTCATTTATATTTTCACTTACTATTCTTGTTTGTTGTTCTTGTTCATTGGTTGTTATTTAAAGTTCTGCTTTGTGTACGTCTATTTTGATACTGCTCAAATTGTATTTACTTACTGCATGTCATTGTCAAAAATTACTTTTGTATGTATATGTTTAGGCCTAAGTTAGATTAAGTCATCTATACAACATATTGTAAATTGGTTCTTGACCGTTGGAAGGTAAAATAAGTAAATAAATAAATGTTATTAATTTTTTATAGTGAATAGGACGAGTCCTTTAGTGGTGACTCGTAGAGCGTTTAAACTACAGTACGGTCTCTAAAGTTTGGACACAAGCTTTTTGTACAAAACCTAACCAGAAAACTCAACATTCACTTTGATTCTTCCATTAGAAATCTCTTGTGATTCTTGTTTGTCTCCTTATATGATAACACTATTATACTTTTAAGACTCGAGATAAACGTAGAAGCAACTAACTTGTAATAACTAAAGCAGAAGTTATTTAAATTAATAATAGGCCTATTCCTCAAGAAACTCCATCTCACTTTCATTTCGCATTACCAGAAAACTCGATAACTACAGAATAATGCCAAGTATTGGGTTGATAACGTGAAATTGTTTCATTTAGCTTCTTGCACTAGGAGACGTAAAAGACATCTTGTTGTAAGCTTATTAATTAGCGGTAAATTATATCCTCTGTTAATATATAATTTCTGTACATTATATCTTACTTTCAAGAAATGTAAAAAAAGTAATTTGTAGGTAAATGTTATTCCCTTCCAGAATATTATAACCTTTGGTCAATTTCCATACCATTTAAAAGTTACTAGTGTACCTGTTGCTCGAATTCGAGGAATTGAACAGTATTACAGGCGTTATTTGAAAACGAATAACAGTCATGATTTCTGATGACTTAAAAGAGTCAAATCAAAGATGTAATCAATCACTCCACTCCAGTTATCGAAACTGGGAACGAATTCACTCTGAAAACGAACGCTCATGTGTGTATCATGTGTTTACTATGAACAGCTGTTTTAGTATGGAATAAAAACAAATTATTCGTCTGTTTAATTAAAAATATCTTTTCTTCATAAGAAATACATAGGGGATTGATGGCCTGTGGAGCAAAGCCTGAGGACTTTAATTACAAGTGAAAAGGAGCCGTATACACACAAATAATTAATTTTGACACATCGTTTGTAAAAATCCGTCTATTATTAACGGAGGAGTAGTGTTTCATAGAAATCGCCTTCACGTATTATATATAAGGATTCGCAAAAAAGCTAAGCAAGCTCCAAATTTATAGTGATGAGAAAAATCTGAGTAAGAGATATTTTTGTTAAAATCTTTACAACTAAATCTACAGTTCTAGAGGGCCAATTGTATTAATTAATAAAAAAGGTCAATGGAAAGCGTCATCTGTGTAGATTTGCAAATAATTATGAAAGTATTTTTACTTTCTCCCCCTATACCATAGTATATGGAGAAAGTATTTTTTTCGTCAAAATTTTCGAGTTTGAGTTTTGAGTGGATATATTCGTTTTGGGTCCCCCTGGACCCAAAAAAGTGGTTTTCGAAGTGATGTCTGTGTGTGTGTGTGTCTGTGTGTGCGTGTGTCTGGATGTGTACAGAGCTAGAGACTACACCTGTGGTCCGATTTCGATGAAATTTGGTATGTAGGCTCTAATCCATGGTATCTCCAGGCGTTTTTTCATTCTTTTAAAATTTTGATTTTTAATGGGGATTTTACTCAATAAATGCAGCCTAAAGTTGGCTAAGGCAGCCTAAACTTTGCTACAGAATATAAACTTCAAAAATCCATTCCTAATGTATTCTTGTGTTTTTACTTTTTCACCACAAATCTTTATAAAATAAAACTATTATTCCTATTTGCAAATCGACACTTAAGCTCTCCAACAACAAATTAATTAACAAAATCGATCCGGTTTAACTATAGATTTAGTTGTACAAAGTTAAACAAATCCTCGAACTCAGTATTTTCTCACCACAATAAATTCGGAGGCTGTTCAGCTTTTTTGCGAATAAATTTTAAAATGTGATGAAATTTACCAAAGTGGAAGATGATATTCTGAAAGTGAATATCATTTGCTATAAATTACTACTGTATTATGCATTTTTTTTAAATACTCAATAAAGGACGCTAAAAGTTGCCTCCAAATAAAAAAATTGAAAACCTCCTTTTCAATGTTTTTCTAATGGCAAACATGTTTTTTTTTTATTTCACAATAAGTACTATCAAAACAAACTTTCATAATTAATTATGCAAATCTACAGGGGGTGACCTTTCCAACGACCCATTAATAAATAAAATTGGTCCAGTAGAGCTGTAGATTTAGTTTGATAAAGATTTCTAAAACTGTATGATTTCAAAGAGTACGTTATGGGGACGTAAATATACGCCCGTGGGGTCATTAAAACGAAAAAGTAAATCGGTCCTAAAAAATATTAATGTAATTACATAGCCTAGTATATCAGGTAATGAATCAGTAACTGGTAAGTAAAATGTTATGAAATGGCTCACCTATCAAGAAGAATAGGACATTTAAAATTGTATTTTTTACGGTTCACTTAAAAATCCGTATTGTCATTCTTGCAACAATAAATTGTTGATTTTCATTGTCGATCGTCGTATTCCGCAATTGTTGGACCCGTTAATTTTTACTAATATAATGAATCGTGATACCTTACCTGAACAAGTAAGCTGTTACAGTAGCAAGCTTTATGAACACAAGGCCACTAATGTAGTCACTAACTTAGCAATCAGACCACTAATAATCACTTATTATTCGTCACTTAAGAGATGTCCAAAATAAAATTCCGATTTTACAATATCTAACTACACTGTGAAACGCACTAATTGTGGATATATCACACAATAATATTGCAGTGCGCGGAGTGGCGTGGCGCGGCGCGATAGGTTGTACAATGTACACACGGTGATATTGATAACGACGTAAGTGGGCCTAGTGTACAGCCTTCGTGATTAGGACCGATTGTCACTGACGATGACGGCCTTGTCCTGTCTGCTACCTCTGCCTCTGACACCGACATAACCTAAATATCACCTGCTCTGACACATAGACACTATTATTAACTTTTTTTAGTGAAATTCTAAGAACTATTGTAAGTTCATAGTGCCCGACTAGCTTAATTTTAAACTCTTAGTACCAATTAGAATTTGCGACCCCTTTGGCATATCTATGATTTTGTATATGTTCAAATACTTTCTATTAGACAATCCAATCTTGTTGCAAACGCAACTAGTTCCGGCTTCTAAATACGCGGGTTTTACACTGACGTTTGTACTAAATTAAAATATGAGGATTTTTGCTCGAGTTATCTTGCTTGGACACACAAACTCATAAATGGGGACCTAAAAAGTTTAAATTAGTTAAACGAGGAGACAGTGAGAAATTTGCGCATTTTATGAGATATTTTGAAGAATTTGGATGGTAAAGCATTTAAATGAAATACAATCATACTTCTTACTTAATATTATAAATGTGAAAGTTTGTGTGTTTGTTTGGTTGTTTGTTTGTTTAAAGTTCAATCACGCATTAACTACTGGTCGGATTGAGCTGAAATTTGGTATGATGATAGCTTACGTTGGGAGCGTTTCATAAACTCCAAATTTCACAAACTCCAACGCTTAAAATATTAAATGAACAGAGCGTTTCATAATGTCCAAATTTCACAAGCTCCAAAACTATAAAATTAAAATAATCACTGTTTCACAATGTCCAAATTTCATAAACTCCAACGATGATTTTACAAAGTCCAACGTTAATATATTAAATAAACAGAGCGTTTCATGATCTCAAAATTTCACAAGCTCCAAAACTATAAAATTCAAATAATCACTGTTTCACAATGTCCAAATTTCACAAACTCCAACGATGATTTCACAAAGTCCAACGTTAATATATTAAATAAACAGAGTGGTTCATAATCTCCAAATTTCATAAGCTCCAACGGTACAGTCTGGGCCAGAAGTCTCTTCAATGGTTGGCACGGTCAGATAGCAGGCACCGTCCGCCGGCGCTCAACTACTGATTATACGTGCATTTTAATGATTGAAGAACACTTACCTGTGTGACTGAAATATGTGTTAACACATAATGTGCATATTAAATATACATTTTTATATTTTTAATATCTTTAGTTC